GAATTTGAATTTGAATTTGAATTTTGTGGTTGTGATTAATCTGATGATGAAATGTGTGACGACCAAATCCCCAAATTTCTAATTATGCAGTATATTTCCACATATTTGTCATAAAAGTAAAACTGGAATATAAACGTATAAACTGAAAGCTTGACATGATACAAAGCATAGTTTATTAAAATAACACAGTTATAAAAAACAGGCATGTTAGGATTTCAGAAGGCTGTAGACCTCCCACTATGTATGTTTTTGTATGTTATCATGATTTATTATTAAATGAACATATTATCCTCAAGGCCCATCATTCCTCTGACATGCTTTATGATGTCATAGCAAAAGGTTAAATATGGTGGATACATGGTATCAGCGAGTACTAGCAGTTCACCTTGTTGGTATCTTATTGCGTTCTTTCCCACTGCCCTGAGACGGAGCTCATATTTAAAAGAGATTTACATGAAATCCAAGCAGCACACTCTAATTGTACTGATGTCTGCCTCTCCCAAAAGGTCAGAGATGTGATGGGATTACATTTGGAACACTTCAGTGTGATTAAAAGGCCGGTGGGAGAAATGGAGGCAATCAAAGCAGAATCATGCTCTCTCCTGCAGTCGCTTTAGTTTTACGTCAAGAAAATTGGTGATCTGATTTTACATTCTGAGACTAATTTAAATACATATTTTCGAGACATTTTCAAATTCAAATTATTTGTAAGAAAATACCACAAATAAGTAGAGAAAGATATAACCTTTTGATTTGAGCTTCTGACCTCTACTTCTTTTATCTCTTCAGACTTGGCTTTGCTTTGAAATGTATTCATTCATTCATTCTGGAACAAATTTAGATATATGTGTATATATTCTAGATATTTTCCCATTCAAAGTATCTGTGAGCAACACCCTGAAGAGGAAGAGAAAGAGCTAGTTTTTATTGGAGTCTGTGACCTTTTTATCTCTTCAGTCTTTTATACACTTTGAAATGTATTATTTACTAATTACTTACTTACTAATTTAATTATGTACTTACTTATTCTCAGCCAACCTATGTTTGATGTAAAAGTTTCCTAAAATATGACTGCATCACATACACTCGTCTGTATAGGCACAGCAGGAACAAACAACCCCCAAAAATGAGTAATAATAATAATTATAATTTTGCCTCCGAAATAGTATATTTACTATTAACTTCTTTAAGTCTTTTTAAAAGCTAAAACATAAATTGGTAGTCTCTTCACTTTTGCTTCAGTGAAATCCTGCTGAGCAATCAAGATAGTCATAGAAAGTTTCAAAATCTCAAAGAAAGCGGAGGAATGCTTCCTTTGACTTAATAATCATTATGTACATGATTAATTACTATATAGCCTAAGAGTAGTAAAAGATCATACTGTACATGCATTTAATTAGTGTGCACTTTGAGACCTGCGCCCTACCAAATCCAAAATGCTGAACTTTTTTATGGGAGGAATTTCTATTACGTGCTCTCTCTCAAAATGAGGGTTAGAACTACGCACAGCACAAGTCATTAGGGTTTTTTTTTTCTCAATTGGTCTCAGGGGATGCCTGAGGTTTCACTGAGGAGACAGGCATCACAGTCACACAATCCCACAGACGAGGGAGCCCCCTGCTCCGCTGCTCTAAAATTAGGGCAATATATCAGAAAGAGCCATCAACACTTATGTCAACATTGTTTCATGAGAAATATGAGAATTTTTTGTGTTTATGTCCTGTCGTTTCACGCATTTGCCTGAGTGATGATGGCAGGCCGGTGTCTCATTAGTGTCACAAATTTTATTTTTGAATTAATTCTTTTTCATACCCGTAACATAAAGTATGCATTCATTTCCCAGTCTCGTTGGTATCTGATAGATAAAGCACGGTGATTTATATTGCTCCTGCATGAGATGCTTATGCATGAGCAAAGGAAAAACAATCATCAAAGTGACCATATAATATATGGAAACTGCTACAGACTCGAGAAATATTAGCCACAAAAACAAGCAGCGTATTATGGTCCCAGCATGAAGTGCATGTTTTAATTTCAAAACAGTCATTCATTTCCATAAATACAACTATAATATGCTGATATTTTCATCTGTTATCACTCACGGAGGTCATTAATAAAGTGAAATGCCCCTTGAAATCTGCACTAAACACAGATGCACACAGATGTGGAAACAAATGTGTGTTTATGCTAATTTGCTCTGTAATAAAATGTGCTGTATTAAAATTGCCAAAAGGAAAAAGAAGGAAAAAAACCCCATTTGTGCTTCTCAGTCAAAATAAGAAGGTGTTCTCTATCAAAAACATTTATGAACATTTATGAACTCTTTCAGTCAGCATGATTTGTAGAAATGCAGAGGAACATGAATGAGCGATGTCTAATTATGTTCCCTTCTGTTGTTCCGACTTTGTTCTGGACACAGTTGTGTGTTGTAAATCTCAGTCCCAGCGCCCTGCATGCATTCCTGATACTCAGCTAAAACTCTGTAGGTTTGTTTTTAAGCAAAAACTAAAGCGGCACCAGTGTCCAGCCCCTACGTCAATTCATCACTATGCCCCTCAACAGTAACCAACTCTGTTCCACTGAGATACCTAATAATATATTAATAACATTTGGACACAGAGCAGCGATTACGTCTCCAGCCCAAAACAAAAGCAAAACCCAAAGCACAATACAGTGCAACCAGTAATACATTTTCCAATGATCTGCTGTAAATGGGCGCACTGGTCTGTGATAAGAAGAAACAAATATTATCTCTGGTCTCTGCTAAATCAGCAGAACAGGGTTATCGATCCGGCTCCTCACATTGCCAATAGAATTTCAAGTCCCCTTGGAAGCAAAGACGGCTAGCTCAGGGTATTGATGTCATTATCATGATTTCAGTGTAGCGAGATGGTGGTCTCCTACAACTCCCTGAACCTCAGAAGATCCTCTCCAGATGTTAAAGGCAGTGACTGAAATGTACTTCTGACACTACTGTAAGGGCTGTTGAAATTATAAACAAGATATCTAATATTATTATTCTTATTTTTAAGAAATGACACATTTCATATTGTCTGGTCTTGTGGGATCTGCAATTTCAGATGCTGCAGTTATTATTAATGAGACCTTTGATGGCATTTTGGGTGCCTCATAAAGCTACTCAGCATGTAGGCCCATTCAGAGGAAGCTCAATCAATAAGTCAGGACATTTGAGTGAAACACACAGAGACTGTTTATCCTGTGCAAAACTCACCCCACCAAAGACCAGTGTGGGGGTAAAGATCACATGAGGTTCCTGTGCAGTAGTCCAGTACTGTATTTACAGTGAGCCACAGTCAGCTGCAACATTAAAACTAGTGCCACATAATGTGCGGTTCCCTCTTCTGCTAACAAAACAAAATGGAATCACAGGGCTACCCTGCGGGATCCGGGTCTTAGGATCCCGGGGGTTCTAGAATGGGACGTCCTTGGATTGGGCTTGTTGTGGTGCACTGGATTGGGGTCTGGAGGATATGAAGGCAGTGCTGCTCCCATGGGTCATGTTCCCAGAGCCATTACTGAGCATTCAAGGTGACTTTATTTATACCCATAGGTAAATATGCTTTACAGCAAAATGATAGCATTTGGCATCCGTTCACAAAACACCCACAGCTATTTAAACCTGACAGACACATATTAGGTAATTAGACAAGATGAATCCAATCAAAAAACAGTTGTTATTAAGTAAGCATGTTCCCCGTTACCGGGGACTTCTGTGGTCCAATGATCCCCGAGGGTCGTTGTCATGTTCCTCGAGCTGCGACGGAGCAATTTTACGGTGTGATTTAGCACATTTTTTCTAAGGGAGTTCTGTTGCTATGGTGACATCCTAACAACGTCTTATGTCTGGTACGTGTCAAAGTCAGTCCGTGCATTGCATTGCTGGTGTGTGTCATGGATATTGACTTTGACACATACCAGCGATGCAATGCAAGGACTGTAAAGTTGATCATTGTATTGTTAATTTTATTTACCCACCGTTTAGTTTTTACATTTTTTTGGCTGCATCTGACAGTGTTAGAATAATTTGTTGCTTTTTTTTTCCTCCCACAAAGTTTCAACTGCATGCAAGCAGCTTGACATTTAACAAACCACAACACATGCAGAAGTTAGTTTGAATTTAAGCATGATGACAACTCCCTCCAAACTGCACTCTATTAACAACAACAGAGGAGTTCAGATGACTTCAAGTTGGCAGACAGCACGGCTAACAAGCTGTAGCTAGCTAGAGGTGTTTATAAAAAGGTGTGCATGTGCAGACGGGGCCTCGCGTGTGTTATCATAGGTCATCTGCCTTAAAGCTGCAAAGAGAGATGTCTTCAACCAGGACATGTGATGCGGGGCATGATATCTCACACTGTATGTGTTGTACTGAGTCCGAAGGGGAACTCTGTATTTAGTTCAGTGCTGACCAGCTTTTTACCAGACAGGTGATGCTGTGTTATGTTAAGGGACTAAAAATATAAGAGAGGCTTCTGGATTTTTCCTTGACATATACACATTCAGACAGATTATCCACTATCTAAAAGAAATACAACCCAAAAGACCTCTTTTATATGAACCTGATGGCAAAGATCCAACAGGCATGTACAGAGTGAAAAGCACTGGAACTGGTCATATCTTTAGTGCTCGCAGATTCAATAGCATGGCTACATCTTGCTGAGCGTTACTCTTTTTATTTCTTTGTTGATAGAATTTGAATATTTCCCAGCCTGAACATGAGTTAAGAGCCGTTGAAAAGAACCGGCACACAGCGCTTTAATATTTATGCTTTTATGTCCTTCGGTTTGTCTCGATACACACTTAATCACCCAGGGAAGGAAATCCCAGACAGCTGATTCTGTCCCTGTCAAACTGAGAACACTACATCCAGATGAACACAGTCAACTTTCTGGGATTTCCTTCAGTTGCCGAGTTTGCTTGAGACTGGATGAATTTGAACAAAGCAGTGAATGTTTCTTTCCTGTGTTTTCTCTCGTCAGATGCAACAATCGGACCCAGTGCATTGTAATCACGGGTTCAGATGTCTTCCCCGACCCCTGCCCAGGGACCTACAAATACCTGGAGGTCCAGTATGAGTGTGTTCCCTACAGTAAGTATGGCCCTTCTGTCATGAATTGTAAACTCTCCCTTTTCTCTCTCCCGACACCCCTTCCCCATCGTTTCCCCCCTTCCTCCTTGCCCTCTGTCTCTCCTCCTGTTGTACCATATTCTGAGCCATTTCTTCCAGACAGTCTCCTTTCTTTGTCTGCAACACCTTCCAACACCCTATTTCTCCTTCTCTTCTTCCATCTGTGTCACTGTGAACTTTTCATGAAATATGACCTGTAAAACCCTTTGGTCCTCTTCCACACGGCCCTTATTATTGATGTGCTCACTGTGTTTCCAGCAGATCGACAAGCCTGGTTATGAGGTAGCAGACTAGAGGGAGGGCAGAGGAAGTCATGCTGACTCTCCTTAATAGCAAGACAGTGTTTCATTACTCAAGTCTTGTACGGAGAAGTCTATCAGGCATAAGCACAGCTCACCTTGATGGCTTAATATACATTCGCACAACAGGTGTTGAAATATGTTAGCAGATGTTTCATTATGTAACAGAACAAAATAGCTCCACTCATAAGTCAACAAGCTAATATTTCATGTAAAGAGATAGCGTTAACATTTTGTCTGTTCCTCTGGTGTTAAAATATTCATTGCCATTCAGCTTCCAAACAATCTTTAGATTGCCCTTTGTATTAAAATTCTCCTTTGTCCTTTAAGCTGCCATGTTCATTTGCAATTCGTGAAGGAAATTCCCCCGTGTAACCTTTACAAACTGATTAATGACAAAGATTTAGATGAATTGCCAGAATCACTAATCAGGTGGAACTGAAATAATTAGAGTTGGGGTGATGGGACAATAGTATTTGGCAGCTCTTGTAGATCCAAATGAGTATTTTGCACTCTGATGTCTTTGGATGTGTTGCAGTCTTGATTCAGCTCAAAACAGAAATGAAATAGAAGTAGAAATAAAACACCTGTATTCTGTTTCTCCTTAACACATCTGTTCAACGCTGCTCATTACCAGTAAACCTGCTTAAGCTGTTCCCCTTAGTGTTGAATTGGAATGCATTAGTGAACATCATTAGATGGTGAAACTCATTACAACTTAAAGGTTAACCTCTCTGAGGCTTTGAGGACCTGTAATTAAACATGGAATAAGCAGTAATGGGCATTCGAGTCCAACTTACTGAGGAAAGACGAATCCTGGAGGTCCTACCTCAGACTGCACTCAACTGCTACCTTCTTTCTTTTTTGGGGGGGTTAGAGAGGCTAGGGGGAGCTCACCTTATAGTCAAGCAACGTATTGATTCTACGTCTTGCTGTGATGCCGCAAACTTTAATAGTAGGATTAACCTCAAGGTGCACTCGTGTCCACCCGCTGTTATGATTGTCTTTTGCCTTCACATCTCGCAGAGGAAACAGTCTAGGCTGCTAGTGTGGTGGTGAAAAATAAACTTCTGACCAAGGACTCTCAGCCCTAGAAAAGTCTGTCTAACCAATGAAAATAAAAACAAGTCCTCACTCTAAACAGTTTCAAACATGCATGTCTGTAGCCCCATCTTTTTGCTTCTCAAGGTCCATGCCCAACCAGAATAGGACCAAGAACACAGAATGTATCCTATCGCAACTGCCCTGGTAAGTGTATAGTGTTCTCCCAGTCTGATTCAGTCCACACAAGCCCAGTCCAGCCTTTCCTATTCAACCCCTACTGTAAACAGTGATAGACTTTGATTTATAGGAAAGTTGCCTGTTTTGTTGTTCTCCTGTAACCAATCCTCTGTCTCCTCAGCCCTCAGCAAAAAAATAATATTAATCCATGCATCTCATTTTGTAGAGTCAGACTAATGCAGATTGAATAGATCATATGCCAAATAGAAAGGTTCATGATTAACAACATTTCAGCAGTCCAGAAGCTTAGGAACCCCCGGATTTGCAGACTTGAGTAGATGTTTTTCAAAAGAACACTTGAAATCCCCATTAAGCTGATCAGCAAGGGGACCAAAGACAGTGTCCTCGTTTAGCCCGGTAACTACCACCCCTCAAAATCTCACTGTCCCCAAGAAACACAAGTAGCAGTTACACAACAGAAGACTTAAAATGTTGTTTTTTTTCTCACCAGCTGAATGTATTTAATCCATTCGGTCTATTTTCCAAGTCTTTGCATAATTACACTTCTGTGCAAGCAGCGTGTGCAATGACTTACCTACATTCCAACCATTTTCCTCCTTTGGCTTTATAATTTGGTTCTTGTCATGAACTGCCCTCATTAGTAGCATTAGCTTCATATTCCAGCCAAGGATGTAAATTTTGTCTTCACCTGGCACTGAGTCACCCTTTGAATTGGCTCCAGTAATTGCTTGAATCAGGCAACATAAAAGCCTCGATGTTTCTTTATTAAGATTGTTCTATGCAAGCAATTTCGAATCGGTGGGAAAAAAAGAGGATGATTCCTTCTCTATTCTTACTTGTAAAACTGCAGAGTCGTGCCAGTTGGCATAAGCAGGCCTCATTGCTAATATTTTCATTTTCATCACCTGTTAGTACAGGTAAACCCCTCAGCTCCGAGTGACAGTGTTGGCCAGAACAGGAAAAATAGGATAAAAAATACAGCATGAGCATCGAGTCCTCTTTGATGGCTTTGTTTAGCCCCCTCACACCTCCCACCCCTTCCTTTTTCTTGAGTATATTTAATTTAATGCTTCAATTCAACACCAGGATACCTAACTGAGTTGACAGCAGACATGTGTTCACAAAATAATAGAAAGCCAGATTATTAACCGGGGTTATTTAATTACAAGTACTTCTTAAAAAGCAAGAATTCCCTAGAAAAGAAAAGAATGTAGTTTCCTGGGTTAAATGTGGATTCGAATGTGTCTCATGCTTGTTGTAATGTTGCTGTATATAAACTGACTTAATTTCTTCCCTTCCCCTGTGCAATCTGCAGGAAACCTCCTGGGTATCTGACTCACTCTCTTCATCCACTGACCGATTTCTGATCACACTGATTGCTGTTTCTATTTTTACATTTCTACTTACATCATCAGGTCTTCGGTCATGTGTTCTCCCTTTCTTTCCAGATTTCCTTCACCCGTGTCTCTCCGTCTGCTTCTCACCTCTTCTATTTTGTGTGGCTGAGGCAGCTTCTGAGAACTGTTGTTAGTTTGTTTGATTCCTATCCATGTGAGATCTCTTAGTTAGGTGCAGCACACTTGAATTTCTTCTGCAGAATGGAGTGCATTCATTTGTGGATCCTTTTGAGCTTCATAGATTTTTTTTTCTTTTTTGCCACAGAAGCCAAGATCAGACTCAACAGTTTGTGACGGATTCAAATTTTAATGTGAACATGTATACAAAAGGAGTGTTGCAGGCCTCGGATAAAAATGTATGATCACGTTAACGCTTTTTGTGAAAAACAGACAGTCACAAACACATAGGAATGTAGACTGAAGGGCACAAGATCAGAGGTGTGCAGAAATAATCGTTGAATCAGTGAAGTAAAGTACGAGTGCACTTCAAACACTCCGCACACAGATATTACTTTGTTGTTGACGCTTCATAAAAGTTCAAATTAAAAGAAATAAAACTCACTTAAATAAGAGTACCATTTGATAAATACCAGGTTCCTTAACTCCACCCAAAAAAGCCAAAGACACACCTAATTTAAATTTTTGCTGATTTCCACTTCAAGGTTTTCTCATTGTTCTCGCTGAAGTTTTGAGGTCTCATTCTAACTACTTGACACATCAGGACATAATAGTGAGCGCTGAATTTGAAGTTTGATCTTGGAGGATAAATTAAGGTCCAAAACACAATTTAAAAAAACAAAACGACACTGAAACCGTGTGCTCGAACACTATAAGCTGCTCGGTCTCTTGGTCACAGCTCATGATGTGAAGAAGCAGTTAAAATAAAATCTAATTTTCTTTACCTTGAATTTCAGATCAGCCAAATTTAAATCAGGTTTTTGCCTTTTAAGGGCAGAGTGACAGAATTGTTTTGATATCTCACTCACAGTTTTTCTCTCGTTCATGTACAAATACCACTGACTGGATTTCCCTTTCTGTAACACTGTTACCTCTTAAACAGTGTACATTCAACACAAACAGATTACTGCTGTACTGTCTTGAATTGTCCAGTCTGATCTAGGCTTTAGATGTACCTTGCTTATATACTGCTCTCTCTATATATATATATTTTCCATTATTGTATTGTTGCAGTTCAGAATTAGAAGCCACTCACTTGCAATGCATATGGAATTCTTTTTTTTTTTTTTAAGTTTTAGTGAAATGTGAAATGTTTTATCGGCTATTGACATCTCAGTTTAATGGACTGAATAATGCTTATTAGCACAAGTGCATTCAGAGTGCCTTGTTTGAATGCGCTCATGATGGCTAATTTATAGCAGACTCATATGGACACAAAAACATCTATTCAGATTGCGCACGCTCTTATGGAACATAAAATTAAATACATTTTTCCACAGTGAGTGCACGAGAGGTATATTCATGCATTTTGCTCCAACAATTTACAGTGATTACCTGCTCCCTTGGTCTGCAATGAACTTATTTGTGCATGGCTTCATCTTTTTAAAAGTGAAAATAATGATAAAAAATGTTACATGGAGACTTTTGCATTGTATTTTTCCCACAAAATTGAAATTGGATCTTTATTATATTAAAACCTGCTTTAATTGAATAACACGATGTAATCAATTACACTGCTCAAAAACCCCCCACTTAAATCACACATAGAAAAGCTTTTTTGATATAAAATGTGTAATTCATAAACCCTTTGCAGGCAAGGTTCAAAATTATACCACCAATCAAAGTTTAAAATTGAAATTAGAGGCTGCTTCAACTGGTGTCATAGTGTGGCTCTGGGTGAGATAGCAGACGGTGACCTGGCAGATCTCCTTCTAGACCTGGATCATTTCATCAGTGACATCCGAGACAGTCTGGGTGCTCCCAGAGGTTCTCAGTTGGATTCAGGTCTGGGGAAATGAAGGCCAGTCAATGGCATCGATGCCTCTGTCCAGGAATTACCTATACACTAGAAGAACCCACAGCAACAGCATAAGGTCTGACAGTGGGTCTGAGGATTTCATCCTGGTACCTAACAGTGATCAGCTGTTTAGCATGTGGAGGTCTGTGCAGCTGTCCAAGGATATGCCTCCCCAGTCCATCACTGACCCACTGCTAAGCACTCATGCTCAGTGCTACTGCAGGCAGCATAACACTGACCAAGGCATCTCCAGATTCTTTCACGTCTGTCACTTGTACTCAGTGTGAAGCTGCTCTCATGGCGTGTCAGCGGAGAACACGCCAATTCTGATGTTCACTGGTGAATGCCAATCAAGCTGCACTGTGCTAAAGGCCACACCAAAGGACGTCAGCCCCTAGTCCCGTCTTCATGGCGTGTGACCGTTTGGTATTCGTATTAATAGCCTACTGGGGTCATTTTGTAGGGCTGGGATTGGGGAGGCCCTGTCCAGTTCTCATAACATACGCTCCTACAGGAACCTGAATGTGCTGCATGGAGCGTCTCGTGATAACAGTGTTGACAAGGACGCTAGCAAAAAGCAAAAGCAGAGAAACGTGGTGCAGGAAGGACATGGAGAGTAATGGTCTGTGGCCACCACCTGCTAAACTGTTGTCATGTTGTTGCCTCTCCGGTGTGCCTGTTGTAGCTTTCATTGCACCAAAGCAGGTGAAATGGATTGCTCCCTAAATTTTACCTTTTTTTGAGCAGTGTATTTGTACAACTTTCCACTTAGAAAAAGGAAATAATCAACCTTGATTGAGTTTTGGTGGTGAGTGGATTTAAGGGAATGAAAAGTCACACTCTAGAAAGTATCGTGTGATCTGTCCAACTGTAAGACAGGGTTTCAGTTTCTTTGAGAGACAAAAATGTGACTTTTACTTTATGCAAATTTTTACCATATTTCTAACTAAAGAGAGATTTTTCTGAAATGGTTAGAGTCGTGGATATAAAACTGAACGTATGTTAATAACAATTTTCTCACTTGCCAATGAAAAAAAAAATCCACCCACCACTTTGCTACAAAACTACTTTGACAATTAGTCATGACGCCAAATGTGACCACACAGTTTTTGGTGCTCTAATCTAACCCTTTTTCTGAGACAGGACTTTGACGTCTGTGTGTCATCTTTCTCACAACTTCCCTGTTTCTAATAGGTGTACCCGTCTTGTTCCATGTCTCATAACGTGTTTCTGCATATGTAATCGTGGCGATGACACTTAATTCATATTAATCTGTTTTTTTCCCTTGCACCCCTTTCATTCTCTCTTCCAACGCTTAAAATAGAAGTGGAGCAAAAAGGTAAATAACAGACACGACCCAAACCCTAGCTCCTTGTTTTGTGGCATCTAGTTGTCAGTTACCTATTTTCCGATGGTGGCCTCTAGAAACCCATTGCAGACGTTATCGTCAGAACCTCCGCACCCCCCAACTGTAACGTTAGCAGCCAGTGTAGTGCTACAAGGGAAGTAAAGCTGGCCATATAAAGACGGTACACAAGCAGCCAAAAGATGTAAATGGGGGAATATTGGCTGCAGTCCATAGGGGCATCCTCTTCTCATTCTCCCTGGGTGCTTTGCTACTCAGCAGAATCTCATATTGCTTGGCTTCTAAACCCTTTTCCATAGCATGCCATGGTAACAGTGTTTCCTGGCCTTCTTTTCAAGCTTTTGCTATCAACTGTCCCTTTTCTCTTCAAGATCCCTACCCTTCTCACTGTTTTCCCCATTATTCTCACCAGACCACTTGCTGCTCTTTTCTCCGTTGATTCTTATGCCTCCTTTACCTCAGACAACAACCAAAAACACCTCAAGAGACCCTTTCAAAGAAAAGAAACCAAACATTTTTTATTACTTTTCAATTTGAATGATTGTGATATTTGCACCACTTCGTAATGACGAGCCTCTCAGGTATATACCATTAGAATAGGTGGTGTAACTGAGACATCAGAGTATACACATTTTGCAGACTCCGTTGACTCCTGCTCTGTCATAACCTCTCCCGTCTGTTGCCAAGTGACTTTAGTTGGCTGCATACTTTTATTTACAGGACCAATTGTTATGTTAAGTTTTGTTTCTGTTATGTTTTCCCCTCATTTGTGTTTTACTCAACAGTTAATGTCTATGAGGCCAGTCTTCTTTTCGTTTCCGACTACTACATATTTAAACATTATGCTTAATAACTTTTCTATTTCTTTGTATTTTTTCTTTCTATGCACAAAACGTCCTCATATTGGCTATAGATGTTAGTTGTGTTTTGGCCACTCGTTGATATGTGTTTGTCCCCACTCTTATTGGACAACCTGTAAAACAAAATGAAGAAATTAGCTATTAAATCGGCTATTTAAGCGTGTATATATATATGTATATGCTTTTCACATTTTAACCTTTCTGCTTCTCATTCTACTCTTTCTCCATTGCTAGTTTTTCTTTGTCCTGGGACTCTGAAAGCTGTCGGTGAACCTTCCTTTATATTTGAAGCGGAGCAGCAAGCTGGAGCCTGGTGCAAAGACCCACTGCAAGCCGGCGACAAAATCTACTTCATGCCTTGGACTCCGTACCGAACAGACACTCTAATCGAGTACTCCTCCTTGGATGACTTTCAAAATGCCCGTCAAACCATCACCTACAAGCTGCCGCACCGGGTGGATGGGACTGGATTTGTGGTCTACGACGGGGCGGTGTTTTTCAACAAGGAGCGTACCCGAAACATCGTGAAGTTTGACCTGCGGACTCGAATCAAAAGCGGTGAGGCGATCATCAACAACGCCAACTACCACGACACGTCGCCCTACAAGTGGGGAGGAAAAACAGACATTGACCTGGCGGTGGATGAGAACGGGCTGTGGGTGATTTATGCCACAGAGCAGAACAATGGTATGATGGTGATCAGCCAGCTGAACCCCTACACGCTACGATTTGAAGCTACCTGGGAAACGACCTATGACAAGCGCTCAGCCTCCAATGCCTTCATGGTCTGTGGAGTACTCTATGTGGTCCGCTCCACCTACGAAGACAATGAAAGTGAAGTCAGCAAGAGCCTGATTGATTATATTTACAATACCAAACAGAACCGTGGGGAATACGTTGATATCCACTTTCCCAACCAGTACCAGTACATTGCAGCTGTGGATTATAATCCGCGAGATAACCAGCTCTATGTGTGGAATAACTTTTACATCCTGAGGTACAACTTGGAGTTTGGCCTGCCTGATCCGGCACATGGTAAGAAACCGTCGCCCCGATCATTTCTCCTGCACACAATAGTGTTAAATTGCATTGCTGAGATTGTGATTTTAGTTCCTGTCAAGTGCACTTTTATATTCCTCTGCTATCCCCATCTATGTATCAAGTGTCACAGCTGACTGATTTTTAATTTAGAATCTAATATGTGCTAGATATGTTATGGGAAGCTTTGGAGTGTAGGAAAGCATTGAAGTGAGCGGGGCTCTGTGGTAAACAACACCTCGAAGCCAGTTACCATATCATAAGGGATCAGTATCATGGGGATTTGGGAGGTTTACCATCCGGGCGTTCCCTGAGTCCCTGGTGCTAAGGCTCCAGGGACCCCTGCTAGCATATTCCTTTTTTTTTTTTTTTGAGAGTGAGTAAGACAGGAAGAGAGAGAGATACTCTCACCTCTGGAAACATACATGTCTGGACAGGTGCAAAGTCTGGCCTGGGGCAAGGTTAGATAATTCCCCCAGTGATGCTGAAACTTGAAATCTCTGTTGGCCATTAAAAAGTGAAAAAAAGCGAGAGAACCCCCCCACTTCATTTTACAGTCTCTAGCTGAAGTGTAAGGATTCAAGGTTCTCCTTAAGACAGAAAGAGATGCAGACAAAAAAGAGACGGATCAATCATCCAGGGTCACATCGGCAGCATGTGTTTTTAATTTAGCTGTCAAGAGCTGAGCGGAGACCAGCCAAGGCTTGCAATCGTCCTTACGCTGAGAATATAATAACGGTAATTATCTTAATCCCTCCACACCCAGAATCCTAAGTCCACGTAATGCTCAGCATAGTTAATGATGAGCCACAGAGGTCAAGCAACTTTTTCACAGATTATCCAAGAGCTCAATATTTATTAATGCGTTGGCTCGTCCACTTTGGTATTGATAGGGCACGGCCTAGGGCTGCTAGACTGGGTTCAGCAAGTGGAACAGCATCAGCCTAGGCAATGCAAACCAGGTCTGAGGTAAAATGCACAGGGTTCACTGGCCAAATAAAATTAAAAAATGATCTTTATAACTTGCGTGAAGTTCTTCCACTAAATACTTTATCAATATATCGAGTTTTACCTACAAATTTTGAACAATTGAGGCGTATTCTGCAGTCAGAATCCGTTACCTTATTTTAGTCATGCCTGAACATACATTCACGTACTCATTTGAAGAAATCAAAAATAAGCTGGTTTTGGGCCATTCCCTTAAATTTCCCGACAGTCACTGTAAAAGCGGTCGTGTTATTTTTTTCTCCTAACAAATGAGAATCAATTAGTGCATTATGTGTTTATAACCAGCAAACTGACTATGAAGCAGTCAGCATTGTCTTTCCAGATTAACTGATATGGCTTCCCGTATTAAGCTGTTTATACACACACTGCATGCTCAATCAACTTTTTCATTTGTTAAATGGACACTGATCACCGATAGCAAAATAAGAGGCTTTAAAAGGATCTGCCCTGATATAAGAATACACTCCAGTTGTCTGTGTGTCTTAAATCACACTGTGCTAGCTTGTTTATTCACACAGATACCTCTCAAGCATCAAAAAGAGCCCACTTCACTTCCTGTCTAGTACGTTAAGAAATATACAGTCTCTGACATCCTGCATTTCCTTCTCCTTAGGGTTTCCTTATTCTCTCATCTTTATTTTAATGTCTACAAGGACTCAGTTCTCTCCCCTTGACAAATGAGACATGAGCCTGGCCCTGTTGCTGACTAATGTATGTTGAGTTGCAGTCGATGAGAGCAAGGGAGAATGGTCCAGGATGATCATCAAGATGTCAATAAACTTGTCCTCCCACATGGCTGATGTTGACACATAAATGATGGCAATTTTTTCTGGCTGTCACAGGACGCCCTCTCTTTGATATCTTTATGCTCGTTTCAGTGGCTGCATCACTGGCCCCTGAAACAAGCCATCAGAATGCTTTTGTGGTGTTAAAAGTTGAACCTATACGTTTTTAGCAGCAGCGACAAAGAAAAAAGAAGGAAACTAAAAGAACATTCTCATGCACTAAAGCCTAGACTACATGCACACGCACAAAGGTGTGTTTGTGTATGAGTGTAGCAGTAACTGGCCCAAACTTGCAAAATTCTGCTGCTGAATGATGAGTTTGGCCCATTATCAGTCAGACAAACATCCAGTAGTTACTTACCGTGTTACAAGAGGATTTAAGCAGCAAAGTAATAGTTTCTTACTTTTTCTATTTGTTGAATCACCATATGGTGCACAGTGTTTTAGCCCTAAGAATCCAACATGCAAAATAGTTCCACGCTTTCAGTATTTATAGGGCTGTGTTAAACTTTTGACTAATATCTGCAGGTCGTTCTACTTTTAAAGGGAATCTCAGAGAATGAATAGAAGCTGATGGAATTGGTAGGGGCAAGACCAAAACTTTACTTTTACTGCACTTTCTGCTCTATTGCCATTTCTCAATGCACAAACAACTCAGTCACTTGATTTGATCCGTCATGGAACGCTAAGCATCAAAGTGATGCTGAGGCTTTATGCGACAGACATTTGGGTTCTTGTCAAGTCCAATAGCATTGCTCGTGTAGAGACAAGATCATCTCTTGTAGGATTATGTGGGAGTGGATGGGCTCCGATTCAACAATCAGCTCCACTGGAAGTGGACGCTATATGGGTCAGCAAGTCCCTCTCGTGGCTTTGACCAACGTCAATATAATAAAGTGGTTTTGCTCCTTGCATGTTTCCCTTCTTGCATATAGCAGCCAATGCAAAAGGCACATTCCTTTGTTGCATTTTTTAAGTGAGATGATTACATGGATTTGAATGAGGTATTCCCAAAGAGAACTCATTATGCACCCATTTCTGTGGAGAATGTATTCATGCCAAGCTCTGATATGTGGCCTCAAACCACCGCGTAAGCATCTCCAAAGCCTTTTATACCCAAAGTGGGTAAAAACAAGCTGTGACATTTCCAGGATGGGACACAGGTGAGCCTTGGAAATCTTTTATTTTATCCCGCACTGCAAAATACTACTGTATAAAAGCCCCCAGTGCTGCAGTTAACACCCACGCAAATCAAAACCGCCTCTTTAATTGTTCAAATGTCAATACATTTGCATACAGTTTCAATCTTTGCGCTGCACAGTCAAATTACAACATTCGCAAGTAGGGATCGTAAGAAAGAAAATGACCCAATTTGTCTAAAATTATAAGGTACGGCTCACCGACGCGAGTTGCCAATTAGCTTACAAAAGTCTGCATGTGGTCAAAACAATGCCCTGTAGTTGGTGTGTTATGAAAGTGCTTTACAGTGCAAAAATGTTCAGCTGTTAACAGATGCTTGTGACTCATATGCATTAGCATCACCCTAGAGAGCTTACCTCTTATAGTCTGATAAATATACAGCTCTCTAATAAGCACCACTATGATTCATTTCTGTCTTCTGTGGTGCTTACATGGAGGTCAACTTGTGCGTGGCAACATTTAGAGAGAAAACAAGGAAGGGGGGTAAAAAGATGGACACTGTCAACATCATCATTAAGCTTTCGCAGCCATCTAAGCTGCTCCGCTAAAATGTATAGAGCATGGATGTTTATGTGTCCTCGAGTTTGAATTTGTTCTTTATTATTTTTTAAGGTGTTGCGATTGTCGAGTAGCCGGCTTGGATAAGGAGGTGCCACTTCCCAGGCTCATTAAAAGGGATGCTACTTTTAGCTAGTTACAACATATGCAGTCCTGACAGTTTCGTTTAGTACGACACTGAAAAACATCTCGAAGCAGCCACACCCTTAAAAAATGTATAAATTAGCCACAATGATCAAAACCATCTTTTTTTTATTCTTTGTTTAGCCAGGCTGTGCAGTTTTGAAAATGTGTGTGAGGCTATTTCTGGTCAGGTGGTAAGAACTTTGTGTCTGCTCACTGTGGTGCAGGATCACGGTTCAGGATGGGTTAAAAACATGTTTGCCTTGACAACAATCAAGTGTGGACACAGCGGTGTGGATGGGGAGGGTATCGATGTGGAAAATCACCCTTTCTGTTTTTGTCTTCATGTTTTCTTTTCTGTCCGTTTCAGTCACATGGTTTCTCGCCGTCGTTGTTTCTGTTGCATTCAGTTGTGCTGCTTTACTCTTTCTTTTATTTCTTTATTTCTGAGTTGCAGACACTCATTGTCTCGGTTGGTGCCTGATGCCATCGGACCAAACCCACTCTAACTCTGACAACCAAATCCACATATCTCTCCTAAAGCATGTTTTACCCTTTTCACGTCTGTGAATATACGATAGTCACCTTTGGTCACAGCGATGCCAATTTTGTCATCAGTGAAACCGAAGCTACACGCTGCCATGGCGTGCCTTCAAATTTGTCGTCACAGGCTTGCCTGTGTAGATTTACAAGCACGCGTCGTCCCAGAAGACCGTTTTAATAAGAACAACTACTCATCCATGGTGTCCACAGCTGTCCGTCGGCGCCTCCGCAAGCAAGTGCAATCACGGTGTAACATTAAGCACCGATCACATCAGTGCCTCGTTTCTGCTTTGCCCTCCAGCTGATCCAAACTAGCAATTTTTTTTCTTTTAAGTCCTCCTTCTCTGTGAATGTACACGAGCTGCGACTTAGAGCCACATGTTTGCATTTTGCAAGCATGTCGTCACCCATAGGCATCTGTTTGACTTCTCTGCTGAAGTCGGGCTAAAGCCTAAGTCAGACTGCTCAAATAATGCCTAGTGAGAGCAGTGCACACTAAATGAGTGGATTTGAGCAAATCCTTAGCTCTGCCTCATGGGGAACTGCACACACACAACAGGGCAAAGATGGCCATCATAACATGAGCACGCGGCTCACACACTGCTGGCTGTCATTAAGAAGTCATTTCCACTGTTTTTTTTTTTTTAAGGATCAATATTTTCATTATTAAAAAAAAAAGTAAAATCCAATATTTCCCATCTGTTCGTAGTTGGATTTTCTACTGATAAATTCTTGGTAAGTAACTATTCGCCTCTGTCAAGGTGACTCTAATTCTGACCG